TCGTATCATAGATAACTTATAGGAATTGTTATTGTTTCTTTGTTAGGTGGCCTTTTCTCTGACAGTATATTCTATTTTATCTTGTTCTTTGGGAGTTTATTTCTCATCTTATTCTTACTCTGCTATACCTCTCTCATCTTCGTCTTTTCTCATTCTCTTTCCACTTTTCTCTCTCTCTGTCTTTGTAATCCTTCCCTCTTCCTTTCTTCTTTTGATTATTTAAGAAATAGTTATGTCTAGTAAGTAATACTGCAGACAAACTGAAAAAAAATATTGCACTTTTTTATCTTCTGTGACAAGATTAAATACTTCCCACAATGCATAAACTTCGGCACTAGTTAGACAGGGCTCAGATTAGACTGCAAACTTCTCTGAAAATCAATTTAGATCTTGCTTCATTGGTCAGTATATCATTTATGAGCAGCTGGTTCTTGATTTTTTTTCTTTTTTTTATTTGTTTATTAATAGGTGTTTTAAAAGTACTTTTGCAATTCTACATTATAAAATTGGGAGAAGAATAAGGAATAAGGAATGAGGAACTGTTCAAGAGATGTCCATGCATCCCTCCTGTGGGTAAATCAGTGGTATGCCTTTGGTTTGGGTATTCAGTGTTTTAAATATTTTTTTCAAAATTTTGTGATTACTTATTATTTTTTTATTTTGAGGTGGAGATGTAAATTACCTTTATATGAATAAAGGAATGAAGATCAAATAAATATCAAAGAAGTATCTTGTTAGAGAACAAAAGAATACAGAATATTTAGGATTTGCTCTTGAATCAAGTATGTTTTTCACTCCTCAACATGGGCTTCATGATGTGTATTTATGTCACTGCTGCTGTATTTAATGTTTTGATCATCTCATTGTCATTATATTTCCTTCAAGATTTTGTCTCTGATGCTTTCTAATTCTCCTTCATTAAAGTGTGTTTTGTGTAATTATTTGCAATTATTTGATAGTGTTACACAAACTTCTGGGATTCCTCTCTGGTTGGTATATCCTACACAACAGTTGTCATCTGTGCCAGTTCAGACTATCCAGTTATATTGTCATCCTGATTTGCATAATGAGATGAAGGTATCCAACATGTTTCCTGCTTTTGTTAGGCATATATAGATTGTCAAAATTCTATCTTCAAAAACTTCAAATGAAGAATGCTCAGATGAGATTGGATGGTTAGATATAATTTAAAATATATATATAATCTAGATTTAATGTATGCAAGAATGATGAAAACTTCAAAGAAATTGCTATGTATGACTATTAAGAGTACATGTTGCTATATTTATTACTATTTGCTGACAAATTTCATTGTTGACAGTTAGCCCTTAACATTCATGAAAGTTACATTTGTGCATCCTTTGTGAATGCTAAAATTCATGAATGCATGCTGTGGATATTGCAGTTTGTGGTATACTGTTATGCTGGCCTAAAGCTTGCCTAAAAGTAACCTGTTGGTACACAAGATAACTGCATAATTTCTTCATGACCATTTTCAAATTAAAGTAAGTACTTTACTCACTGTAAAGTACATATGCATTTGCTCATAATAATATAAACTGATGGTTTTCTTACACTGGGCTATGGTCAACATATAATATTATAGACCAGAAGTAACCAGTTCAGAGTTTGAAATGTCTAAAGAAAATAAAATATTCTGTATCCATTTTATTATTGAAAATTTGTCTTACAAGGTTTCAAGTTGCTTCAGTGGGTTTTGCAGTATTGCATTTAATTCTTATTTACAGTGTGGAAACCATTACTCCAGAGATTTGGTATGAATGCTTTGTTTTTGGTTTGTGAACACTTAAGAAAATATGATTTTGTATTGTTAAATTTTTGATCTAGCTTCTTGTTATCAAAAGAGTTAGTGAAATGCAAGTTGGGTTACTCATGTCTATTTAGGGAAGCAAGTAGATGCCAGGCACCTACATATCTTTTACATAAATAAGTCATTAGTTTATTCTATGCAAGGAGTGCTTTAATGAAGTATTTTATTGTTCGGAGAGATAGTTCATTACAACTTGTTGCATGGCTTGGCTTTTCAAAGGCTATAATGACAGCTTTTCTTTTAGAAGGTCAGTATAAGATGTTAGTAAATAGAGCCATTCCTTGTTAACTTGAATGTTATTTACTTTTTAATGGTTGGCTAATACTGTTGCTCAGAATATTACAATTTTTTTCAGCCAGCAAGGAGAAGAGAACAAAAGTGTTATGTTGAAAGTTCTCTTGGTTCTGTTATTTTTCGCATATGCGTATTTTCCTCCAGGATCACTGGGCTGGCATGCAAAAAAAAACCTAGATGCTTATCTTTTTATTCTGAGTTTGTATTAGCTTCTTCATACAATTCAGCCTATCGTATGGTGTATTTTACATTTACATATATCATCGTATGTGTGGGTGGGAGTGGATTATTATGTGCCTTTTCTGCCTCTCTAACAAAAGCACGAGCACAATGCAGGGGGAAGCAGACTGCCAGCTGTTGAGGAAACAGTAATCAGGGTAATGCTTTTGTACAAGTTAACAGTATTTTTTTTTTTTTTTATATTAGAAATTA